GTAGGAATTAAGCTTGGGGATGCTGATACGTCTCCAACGTATCTATAATTTATGAAGTATTCATGCTGTTATTTTATCATTCTTGAATGTTTTACAATCATTTTATAGCAACTTTATATTATTTTTTGGGACTAACCTATTGACCTAGTGCCTAGTGCCAGTTGCTGTTTTTTGCTTGTTTTTTTACATCGCATGAAATCAATACCAAAAGGAGTCCAAACGCAACAAAACTTTACGGGGATTTTTTTTGGACCAGAAGGAACCCATTGGGCCAGAGCTACACCTAGGGGGTGCCTCGAGAGGGGCACAACCCACCCGGGAGCGCCAGGACCCCCTGGCACGCCCAGGTGGGTTTTGCCCACCTCGGTGGCCTCCCGCACCCCCTCTTTGCGCTATAAATTCCCAAATATTCCGAAACCCCTCGGGGTTAACCTAGATCAGAAGTTCCACCGCTGCAGGGCTCCGTAGCCACCGAAAACCAATCTAGACCCGTCCTGGCACCCTGCCAGAGGGGGGAATCATCTCCGGTGGCCATCTTCATCTTCCTGGCGGACACCACGATGAGGAGGGAGTAGTCCACCCTCGGGGCTGAGGGTTTGTACCGGTAGCTATGTGTTTTATCTCTCTCTCTCTCGTGATCTATATCATGGGATTTGTTAATATAGTCAGATCATATGATGTTTCTCCCCTCTATACTCTTGTTGTGATTAATTGAATCTTTACCCTTTGAAGTTTTGTCTTGTCGGATTGAATATTCAGATATGAGAACACATGATTTATGTCTTGCGGTGTGAATACTTAAGGTGACAATGAGGTATCATATTGATTCACTTGATATATGTTATGGCATTCAACTCGCGGATTCCCGCAGTGATATTGGGGTAATCTATGCACAGGGGTTGATGCACGTTTTTATTATCTTTTGTCCGACGGAAACTTTGGGGTCTCTTTATAGTTCTTTGTGTGGATTGAGTATTATGAATATGAATATGCTTTGGTGTTATTCTAGTATGAAGTCTAGGATAGATCAAACGGAAACAATAGCTTTGTGGTATTTTAGTACGAACTGTTGAATAGATCGAACGGAAAGAATAGCTTTGAGGTGGCTTCATACCCTACAAACAATTCCTATCTTTTGTTCTCCGCTAATAGGAACTCGGGAGTGATTCTTCGTTACACTTTGAGGGATAATCATACGATCCAACTATGTTAGCACTGTTGAGAAATTGCATTAGCGAAAGTACGGACCCTAGGCCTTGTTTTTGAGCATTGCAACATCATTTTTGTTCCCGTTTACTATTAATTACCTTGCTATTTTTATAATTTCATATTACAAAAACCAATATCTACTCTCCATATTACACTTGTATCACCATCTCTTCGCCGAACTAATGCACCTATACAATTTGCCATTGTATTGGGTGTGTTGGGGACACAAGAGATTGCTTATATTTGGTTGCAGGGTCATTTGAGAGAGACCATCTTCATCCTACACCTCTCACGGATTGATAAACCTTAGGTCATCCACTTAAGGGAAAATTGCTACTGTCGTACAAAACTCTGCGCTTGGAGGCCCAACACGTGTCTATAAGAAAAAAGTTGTGTAGTAGACATCAGCTATGAATAGTAATTGGTTCAAATTGGGCCGCAAAATAGTGATTGGTTCAAATTGGGCAAAACATTCGGCCTATGAACACAGTAAATGCTTAACTAGTGTTTTTTGTAAGTTTTTTCATCATGACACATTTTGATTTTGGATCCGAAATTTCATGACATGATAAATCGTGGTATTATCAATTCATGAACTTCGATGATTTTTTGTTGCTACCGCCATTGTTTTACCTACTATCAGCATTGCCTCTCACGATGCATCATGATCCTAGCATTGATGTCGTCAATCGCATACTTCCTCTCCTTTGACATGTTAGCGTTGTGTCGAATATTGTGAACAAGATAGTTTACAGTTGAACTCTGAGTAGTATAGTATGGAGTCGTGGACACTTGTATCCTAGACCTCTCATATAACTAGATGATGACCCGCGCGTTGCTGCTGAATTCTTTTGATAAATTTTCAAAGAAAGTCCTTACATGCAGCTACAGGAGCATTTGCAGAATCCCTGTTCAAAAAGGAAAACATATTTGACAGGATCACGGTGGAGTGACACGATAGAAAAATGCTACTAGAAAACATGGTAATACTAATAATAGAATAAGCCTAATAAAGTATTCACAGCAGACCCAGTAAATAATAAACATAACATGTAAAATGGGCAGAAATTACCTATGGAAAACAAAAATGAATGAGAAACACAAATGACAATGGCATGGAAAATATGGTACAAACACACAATATACATAAGAAAAAAAATCATAGAGAACATGATGAAAAAAATGTGGATCAGTTGCCAAACTTGCTTGTGCTCCACTGATAAGTTGGGGTACATTAGACATGGTAATTTATGCATGACAGAGCTGTTAAAATACACATACACTATAGATAAATACCCTGAAAAAATTGCTTATTCTACATTAAGTTATGTACATTAGGCAAGGCAATTTATACATAACAGAGCTGGTAAAAACCTTTTTACTACAGATAACTACGCTGAAAATGCTTATGCTACACTGATAAGTTGTGTGCATTAGGCAAAGTAATTTATGCATAACACATCTGGTAAAATAGACATATATTACACATTGCTACTTAAAAAACGATTATGCTCAACTGATAAGTTGTGTACATAAGGTATGGTAAATTATGCATAACATAGCTGGAAAAACCACATATATTATAGATCACAACCCTGAAAAAAGCTTATGCATCACTGATAACTTTTCTACATTAGGCATGGTAATGTATTCATAACACAATTGATCAATTTGGATAGAGGATTGACAGAACAAAATTAAAGCAAGGTTCATCTAAACGTAAGGACACCCCGACCCCCACCCCAGTGATAGATTTAGCACAAAACAAGCATGTTAATAGTAACAATGACTAGCATTGTAGAATGCAAAATTAACTACCAAATCTAGTAGACAATAGGGGTGTTGAGAATGTTTTACTGAGCGAATTTCCAATAGCAAAGGGATCTGTTTTTACTAGGAGATTCATGACACGTCGATGAAATCACCCATTCCAAAAAGATATATGTCGCTTCAAACACACTACAAGAAATATGTCAACTTGTGACCACCACTATTGGTCACTGAATGGTCACAAATTTTCATTTGTGACCTTTTTGTGACCAAAAACATAAGGTCAAAAGTTGGCCGTCATAAACTGACATTAGCGACCTTTCTTATGGAATGGTCGAAGACGTTTATGACCAAAATACGTCTACTGTGGCGTTTTGGTCACTAGCAACCTCCCCAGGCCACGTAGGCATCCAACGTGGCAAGCTGATGTGGCACAAGATTCAGCCCGGTCCAATTCGGTTTTCTACATGGGCCTAGCCCAACAATTCGGCCTTTTTACTGTATATTTTCTTTATTAATTTTCTCTAGCTACATGGGCCTAGCCCAACAATTTGGCCTTTTTATTTCTAGATGCGGCCTTTTACAACGTATGATCTTTTACCTTTTGCTATTTTATTTTCCACTGTTTTAAATTTGTCCCAAATATCATAATATCATACACTGGTCCCACACGTCAGAAATTTCAAATGTGCTCAAATTATTTTGATAAGTGGGTCGCATGAGTCATGTTTTCATTGCACACATTTTCAAATCACATACATAATTACTATTTCATATGAAACAGGAATTGTAATTCTGAAACATACATGAAATTCACAGAGATAAGATACATTAAATCACATACATAATTACTATTTCATTCACAAACAGAGAGAAGATACATTAAATTCCCAGATAACCCATCTATTATTACATAACTTGCTATATAAGAATGTCTTGGAGCTTCTTTGAACATCTTTCGTCTTGAATTTACTCAAAATATCTGCCAACAAGAAAACAGAACAACAAGGATAGGGTGAATAACAACAACAACAACATGGGGTGCTATTTAGTAGTAAGATCAAGTCTGGAATGTAAGAATGCTTTGTCGTAATTGATAACTAAAATCTACAACAGCTCAAAGTGGCAGTAGCTAAAACACAATCTCAGAAAAAGCATATAATTGATGTGACATAACAAACTAGACAACCAAGAAATTGATGTGACATAGCTAGTTTACAGCAATATCCAACGACAAATTGATGTCACATATATGTATCTATCATGCAAATAGCGGATGTACTGTACTGATAACATTAGACTAGAAATAAGAGCCTCAGAGATCTTGGTGGTTAAGATCATCAAGTGGGATAAACCCATTAAGAGTAGCAAATATTTTGATAACATCACAGGCTCTGTTTGGCACACAGAAAATTAATTAGTTGAAGCAGAGGCGATGTTTGGCATCACTGCATTTTACAGTTCCAAAACAGACAGACAGAGTCAGGAATCGGTAGCAAAGGAAGTATACGTATATAGGAATCTCTACTTGGAACCTAGAGTAAGAAGCACGGCTAGAAGAGCCCAAGAATTAATTAATCCTGTGTTATTCTTTAACTGGAATGTACGTGCATCATCAACAGAGAAGTGTGAGCTCTGGACTTAATTGGTTGTGAGAATGGACTGGACTGTTCCAAATACGTGCATCATCATCAGTTCTGTGAAGCAAATCTACATATCATATTTCTAGAATGGGCGCACCCAGTTGCTCACAAGTAGATTCAAACCCAACTTGTAATGCAATGATGTTTATTGTACAGTATTACTATAGTTACCTAAATTGCCATGGGAATACTGACAGCAGAAACAGGGGAACGAGAAGTAAGTTAAATTAGAGCTAGCAGTTCCAAACAATCACTAAAAACAGCAGCAAAAGCAGACACAGATACCCGCCAGAGACATTCCCACAGGCAAAGCAAGCACCTCAATCCCTCTCGCCACGGATCGTCGAAGAGACCCACCAGGTAGGCCTCTGCAGCCTCCTAAAGGGCCAACACCGCATGGCTCTGGAAGCGGAGGTCAGTCTACACAGACAGAACAGGATGGTGCTTTTAGTTTACTTGATTCATCATACTATAAGAGTTGACACAACAGGAGCATCACAATGTAGTGCACAAGTTAATTGATCACCTTGAAGTCCCGGGCAATCTCCCTAACAAGCCTCTGGAATGGAAGCTTCCTGATGAGAAGCTCCGTGCTCTTCTGGTACTTGCGGATCTCACTGCAAAGTCAAGCACAAAATTTACTCATTTGAGAATACTTCAAAACAAAACTATAACACATGCTAGAATAGGTTGGAAGATTTTACACACCGAAGAGCAACAGTTCCAGGGCGGTAACGGTGAGGCTTCTTCACTCCTCCAGTTGTGGGAGTAGACTTACGGGCGGCCTGTCAAAAAGCAAAGTAGAGCACATGGTCAAATTAACAATAATACCATGATAGTCCATATACATCAGTAGGATATCTGGTCATAAGCTGGCAATGAAGGCTGAGGTTCAAATTATACCCAGTTCAATTTACCTAAACCATAAATAAAGACATGGCATAGGTAAAGTATCAATATTGCAGTCACAAACCTTGGTGGCTAGCTGCTTCCTAGGAGCCTTTCCTCCAGTGGACTTACGAGCAGTCTGCTTAGTACGAGCCATGAGCAAAACCTTGGTTTACCTGAAGCAAAAACAGAACATAGTCAATTCTATAAATTGAATATCACAATAACACAACTATAGTCTTCTCATAACCAGTAAATTGTGCCTGGCACCTTGTTGCTAGCAAATCCATTCAATAACTATAGAGTCCCAACAATCATCAGCCTAGAATACCTACCAAATTTTTGTACATCAAAAACTAACAACGTCATACAACACAGCTATACACCCCTTCAGATAGAAAGCAGTGTATTTCTAACTAAAACTTTTCATTCAAAAGATCAGACCCAAGATAGAATTCCACTTCAGATGAAAGTCCTGATCTACCTTTAGCATAGTTTGTTCACTCGAAAGACACATATAAAGATGACACACTAATAAACTGTAGCCTAGTACTTTTTTAACACTAAAGAAAACAAGGCTACCATGATCACCTAATTTTGCAAACAGAAGCAAGAAAAGAAATAGCAATCCACTGATAAAAATATGCTTCCTAGTTATCACATGTAATGGTTGAACATCAACTTCACATAGTTATGTGCACATGATTTTAGTAATTAGCTAACTGGCAAGTTGATACAATTCAGATACAATAAATGTGAATGTGCATGTACTCAATGTGCATGTACTAAGAAGCCAAGAACACTCAAGAATTTACTGATTGAACAAGCAATGGTCATTTCATCCCAAACCTCTCAGCTTCACACAACTAAATCAATGTCCCGGGAAGGAATCACCAGAAATTTTACCACATATAGTACAAGCACAATGAAGTAGCATACCGAACAGCAGAGCAGGTAGCGGGGGAGGAGAGGGGGGCTGAGGAGCGGCCGCTTGCCTTGGCGATGTAGTCCATCAAGGCAAATTTGAAGGCGATGCCGAGGCAGCCAAAGAGGACGGAGACGTTGGAGCAGGCACGCGAGAAGTCCCCCGCCGCCATCGCGGGCTGCTGCTGTGGCTTGGCGACGGCCGCGAGGTGCTCGAACGACGCACCGATCCGCCGCAGTGGCTTGTCGACCTCGTTGGACCCAATCGGCATCGGTGGTGCTTAGCACCGCCGCGGTGGTGCCCACGGCGCCGAGGATCTCGCGGTTTCTCAGGGACTGGCTCGCCGCCTCCAACGCCGCCAGGGCCGACGCTACCATCGCGTCGCCAGGGCCGCAGCCACGCAATCAACGGGCGCCACACGGATGCGGTTGCGGATCTGGGCTCCGACGGCACGGACCCCCTCCGCCAAGGGCACCCTGCCACCGGCCGCCATGGAGGGGTTGGCCATCGAGGAGGAAGGGGTCTCAGGCTAGGGTTTCGGCTAGAAGTGGGGAGTGTCTCTCGGCTCGGCATGGAGGAGGCCGGGATTGGGGGAGAAGCGGTTGGGTCAATCCAGAGATCCAGAGAGGAGGAGAGGAGGAGGAGTCGTGGGTTGGAGGGTTCGAGGGGATCGATCCATATGAATCTCGCCGGACAGAGGGCGCCGAAGGTGGTGCGGATTGGAGGGGATCGATCCATATGGATCTCGCCGGACAGAGGGCACCGGAGGTGGCGGCGGCCAGGGAGGAGTGGAGCGCTAGGGTTCGAGAGAGAGAGAGGCGAGTGGGCACGAGGGGTTGGGTGCGGTTGGGTGCGTGGGAGGGAGTGCGGGTTGTGGGTTGGGCGACGTGGGTGAGACAGGTGGGCCGTTGGATCCAGGAGCATCCGACGGTGATTAGGCACGATCCGCGTGAGATGCTCCTGGACCAATCAGAACGCAGTATACCAATACTACATTTTTTGACCATCTAAATTGGTCATAATCGACTAAAAGTAAGGTGCTAAATCATATTGGCTATTTTATGATCTGAAAAATAAAAATAAAAATAAAATATCTTCTCATGTTTCATCAAATTTGACCTTAGTTTTCAGGAATAATGACAAATCAAAATAAGACAAATATCTTTTAAAAGAGTTAGGAGAAATTAGTTTTTTTAAATCATTTTCCATTTTTAAAGTGTCCAAAATTAGTTTTTTTGTGAAGGACATACTATATATTTGTTGCAAAATTATACCAAATCAATTTTAAAAAATACTAGGCCATATTTAATGCACAATTGACCAAATGGTTGGGTGTCAAAAGTTTTGATCCACCTCTGGTGAAAAAGACAAATTCCCGCCGATTCAGATGGAAGCGGGTCAAATTTGAACTCCAGCTGCCTCATAGTTTGCTATTTATTTTTTCCAAAAATCATTTCTAGGTACATAAGTATCTATTTAATCAGAGAAACACCAAAAAAATTCCAATATTCAACCACTAGCTAGGAACGGTCAAGCCCGCCGTTTTGTCCGCATTTTGAAACGGGCATAAAAAATTAAAAAAAATCAAAAAATTGGAAAACCTTCGCATTGTGTCATTATATGTGACCAAGTTTCCAGGAAAAATAATAAACTTGTAATACGGTAATTATTTTAAAAAAGTATTCTCAGAAATGAGCTATCATGTGTGAAGATTCATGTATTTCAACCCAAACGATCAATCTTATGGCCACATTCATGGCATAGTTTGTTCAAATGATCTCATATTGTGCACAAGGGTGCATCTTGGAATACCAAACAATGTTGCCAAAGGGAGTTTTCATTTTCTTTGCACGGAAAATTCATTTTCCATTTTTCGAGTGCCTGAAATAAGGTTTTTTTGTGAAGGACCTACCATATATTTGTTGAAAAAATGGACCAAATCAATTTTATAAAATACTAGGACATATATAATGCACAATTGACCAAATGGTTGGGAGAAAAAAGTTTTGATCCACCTCTGGAGAAAAAGACAAATTGCCGTCGATTCAGTTGGAAACGGGTCAAATTTGAACTGTAGCTGCCTCATAGTTTGCTCTTTATTTTTTGCAAAAATCATTTCTAGGTACATAAGTATCTATTTAATCAGAGAAACACCAAAAAAATTCCAATATTCAACCACTAGCTAGGAACGGTCAAGCCCGCCGTTTTGACCGCATTTTGAAACGGGCATAAAAATTCAAAAAAAATCAAAAAATTGGAAAAACTTCGCATTTGTGTCATTATATGTGAACAAGTTTCCAGGAAAAATAATAAAATTGTAATACAGTAATTATTTTAAAAAAGTGTTCTCAGAAATGAGCTATCAAGTGTGAAGATTCATGGCTTTCAAGCCAAATGATCAATCTTATGGCCACATTCATGGCATAGTTTGTTCAAATAATCTCATATTGTGCACAAGGGTGCATATTGAAATGGCAAACAATGTTGCCTAAGGAAGTTTTCATTTTCTTTGGACGAAAAAACCATTTTCCATTTTCCGAGTGCCTGAAATGAGTTTTTTTTGTGAAGGAGCTACCATATATTTGTTGCAAAATTGGACCTAATCAATTTTATAAAATACTAGGCCATATTTAATGCACAATTGACAAAATGGTTGGGTGTCAAAATTTTTGATCCACCTATGGTGAAAAAGACAAATTCCCGCCGACTCAGTTGGAAGCGGGTCAAATTTGAACTGCAGCTGTCTCATAGTTTGCTATTTATTTTTTCCAAAAATCATTTCTAGGTACATAAGTATCTATTTAATCAGAGAAACACCAACAAAATTCCAATATTCAACCACTAGCTAGGAACGGTCAAGCCCGCCGTTTTGACCGCATTTTGAAACGAGCATAAAAAATTCAAAAAAATCAAAAAATTGGAAAAACTTCGCATTTATGTCATTATATGTGAACAAGTTTCCAGGGAAAATAATAAAATTGTAATACAGTAATTATTTAAAAAAAGTGTTCTCAGAAATGAGCTATCAAGTGTGAAGATTCATGGCTTTCAAGCCAAATGATCAATCTTATGGCCACATTCATGGCACAGTTTGTTCAAATGATCTCATATTGTGCACAAGGGTGCATATTGAAATGGCAAACAATGTTGCCTAAGGAAGTTTTCATTTTCTTTGGACGAAAAAACTATTTTCCATTTTCCGAGTGCCTGAAATGAGTTTTTTTTTTGTGAAGGACCTACCATATATTTGTTGCAAAATTGGACCTAATCAATTTTATAAAATACTAGGCCATATTTAATGCACAATTGACAAAATGGTTGGGTGTCAAATTTTTTGATCCACCTCTGGTGAAAAAGACAAATTCCCGCCGATTCAGTAGGAAGCGGGTCAAATTTGAACTGCAGCTGCCTCATAGTTTGCTATTTATTTTTTCCAAAAATCATTTCTAGTTACATAAGTACCTATTTAATCATAAATACATGGTTTGGTGGCGATACGTCGAGGTTTGGGCGGTGGCCGAGGCCCCCAACTCTAGAGCGCGTAAACTCGCATGCCCGCCGCGTGGTCACCGCGTGGCCGTGACGTTTCCATGTGTTCTGGGCTGCCTAGGCATGTCTAGTGGGTTGGGCACTCCCCAGGTAGGTACTAGGAAGAAAATCACAACATAAGATTCTCAGGAGGAGACCGATCGATGCTCAAACATGAATAAGCAGCCAAGTGTTTGATTAGCGGTACGTGAAATGCACATGGCCAATGGGCGTGAGTTTTGGCCGAGGACGATCATCTACTAAGGGGAATGTATTCACAAATTTTCAGCTCAAAAGGAGGATCCTAGGTGGTACTTGCTTTGCAAAGTACCACACTGGACAAAAATATGAATGTTGAAGCTGGGCTCAAAATAATGAATGGATTGAGCTGAAATTTGGTGGAGGATGGTTATTTGGGCATAGGAAAGCATCGTAGAAAATTGATATCATTTTGACATGCCAAAGTAGTACTTCCTTCACAATGCTCTTCTATGGACAAAAACTTGGGAAAACTAGTGATAGAGATTGGATGAATGAAATGAGCTAAAAATTGGTGTAGGTAAGTTACATAGGTATGGTCATGCGCTGGTAAATTTTCAGATCATTTGGGTAAGCCTAGCTAGTTCTTACTTCACAAAGCTTCTCTCGAGGTAGGAACTTTGGAAATTTCCTGAGAAAGATTTACTAGGAAAATTGATCTGAAT